TACCGGGCCGCGGCATAAGAAAGGTTGGGGATCACTGCTTTGGAGAATAGGTCGATGCCATCTTGTCTGTGATAGCTCCTCAGATGTTGAAAAACCTAGTCCTTCTCAATGTATCCCTCAAAACTGATATGTCCCATGCACAGTTAATCTTTTTTCTTTCTTTAGGAAGAAGGAAAGAGCAAGTGATGTCATTCCTCTTCTGGCTCAGCCTTTGGTGCATTGTGAGAGAAGCCACCATCACATCTTCTGTTCTGATGAACTGTTCAGTTGAAAAGGTGAGCGGAAGGATGAGAAAGATGTTGATTTTGGCAGAAGAATTGGCCTGCTGCTTAATTGAAGATAAGAATAGGGAGAAAGCAAGTTTCTCCTTTCACCCTTGTCTAGATGCCTTTTGACTGAGTCGACTGGATGACAAACACTCAACTGTTTGCTTCCTTTCAGTGAAGACCAGTTTCACGATTCCAATATTGGTAGGATCTGATTTTTGAATTGTATTTGGTAGAAAACTACCGACCCAGTGTATGGGGTGTTCAGAAATGACCAGGGGGTGGGCTGCTACCACTTTGCACCGGTTCAGGCAAACTTGATGTTAATTTTACAACTGGTTCGTCGAACTGGTAGCTGCAATGACTGGCTGGCCCTACCCAGGAGTCTCCACATGGCCTGTTTTGGATCCCAGGTAAGTGCATGGCCTGAGCGGAAGCTCAGGAAGGGTGAAAAACAGGCCTCCTGGAGGCTCCAGAAGGCCAAAAATGGGCCTGTTTCTGGCCTCCAAAGAGCCTCTGTAGCCTAGGGAGGGGGAAAACAGGCCTCCCAGAGGCTCGAGGAAAGCCTCCAGAGCTTGGGGAAGGGGAAAACGGGCCTCCCAGAGGCCCCAGAAACTCAGAAATGGGCCCATTTCCGGCCTCAAAAGAGCCTCCGGAGCCCAGGGAGGCCATTTTTGCTCTCTCAGAGGCTTTAGGAAAGCCTCTGGAGCCCAGGGAGGACAAATACCGCTGTGGTGCAGGAGGCTGAGTAGGCCACGCCCACCCAGCAACTGGGCAGAAAACCGGTTGCTAAATGTTTTTAAACCTATTCCTGGGAAGGTTCATTAGCATTTTCCCCAGAAAATATAAAATGCTACAAAACAAGACATTAATTCAATCCATCTTATTCTATATCTTTAGCAATAAAAAGTTGCTTCATTCTTTGGATCAGTACTGCTTTAAAATATGGGAATTAATGTCTGTTTTATCCACATTGGTTTCTATTGTCTCATTAGACAATTAAAAAAATGTAATAGAAATAATAGATTATCTATGCAAATGACTTTTGGGATAGTAATACTGAATATTGGTTCTTAACTAACCAGAGTTCTGATAATTTTTAATGTTTGTACTTTGGTGATGTTGCTTGACAGAGAGATGTGGCATATAAAATTAATAAATACATAAAATATAATATTAAAAATGAATGTCTAAAACTGCATGTCCCTCCTTAAGTTTCTGAATGAAATCTGTGCAGCTTTTTTTATTATTTACACCTTCCTTGTTTTGTTTTCTTGACCATTATATTTTAAAAAATGCAAACTAAATGATTTTTTTAAAAAACAACAGCCATATTGTAAATCAAAGAGTTGCAGAGAGCTGCTAAAAGTTTGAGGAGGAGAAATAACAATGGGTTAATTAATTAAGAATGGTTGCAGGAATTGGGTATGTCTAGTCTAAAGAAAAGAAGGAGTAGGAGGGACATGGTAGCAGCGTTACAATATTGAAGGGGCTCCTACAAAGAAGAGAGCAGTCAAACTATTTTCCAAAGCACCAGAAGAAGAAGAAATGATGATGGAAACTAATCAAGAAGAGAAACAACCTTGAAGTAAGGAGAAACGTCCTAATGGTGAGAGAAATCAAGCAATGGAATAGTTTGCCTTTGGAAGTTGTGGGTGCTCCATCACTGGAGGCTTTCAAAAACAGACTTGACAACCATTTGTCTCAAATGGTATAGGGTCTCCTGATCAAGGAGGGGGTTGGACTAGAAGACCTCCCAGCTCTATTATTCTATGTCCACGATGGCGAACCTATGGCACACACACTACAGATGGCACACAGAGCCATTTGTGCAGGCATGCGAGCCCCAGCCAAACTTACCACATGCCTCCCAGCTGATTTTTGAACCATTTGAGGCCGTTTTTGCCCTCTTGGAGGCTCAAGGGAAGCCTCTGCAGCCTCGGGAGGCCGAAAAACAGGCCTTCCGGAAATACCAGAAGTGCCGAAATGGGCCCTTTTTCAGCCTCCCGAGGCTACAGAGGCTTCCCTCAAAACTCCGGGAGGGTGAAAATGGCTTCAAACAGGCTGAAAATCAGCTGGGAGGCACATGCATGTGCAGTGCAGGTAAGGGGCTGGGGCTGGGGTGTTGCATGCGCATGCGCAGGGGGGTGGGGCGCATTGCACTGTGGGTGCCGGCACACACACGCGTGTGCTATTGCATGCACACACACTTTTGGCACACCACAACAAAAAGGTTCGCCATCACTGTTCTACGTTATAATTCTCTCATTTAGCTGTTTTTCATTGCTAACCAAATTTGATCTCTCTCTCCCCCCCTCCCTCCCTCTGTCTCTCTATCTCTTTCCCCGCTCTTTTTCTCTCTCTCTCCCTCCTTCCCTCTGTCTCCCTCCCTCTCTTTCTCTGTCTCCTTTCCTTTTTTCCCCTCTCTCCCTCTCCCTCCCTCTCTTTCTCCTTCCCTCCCTCTAGGAAGGAGAGGACATACACCTTCCTATAGATGACAAGACTGATTTTGGGAAAAAGCAACATTTCGGAAGTGGCCTTTTCAATAAGAGCACACTGAATGCAACCTCCTCCCCAACTTTTCCCTGGAATGGTTCCCATTCTCTCGGCGGTGAATGTGACTGCATCATGGACCTGATAGCCTGTTTGTTAAGAGATCGTGTTCTTGCTGGGTTCGTAGTCTTCCTGTTCACCGTGGGCCTCCTGGGAAACCTAATCCTCTTCTTTTTTCTCCTCTTCCACTTCAAGAGAAATTTGTGGACCACCTGTATTTGGAATTTAGCCATTGGTAGCTTTGGGGTCCTTATCTTTCTGTGCAGCATCTGTCTGTTAGCGTTCAGTAACTATATTTGGGAGAACTCCAGCGATGCCCTGGTGAAGTTGCTCCTGCCCCTGGCGTATCTCTTTTTCGTCATGCAGGGTTATAACGCTCATTTTTTCATATCCATTGGGGTGGATTGGTGTTTTGCCCTTCTTTCTCCCAATTGGTACCACTGCCACCAATCAACGTATCTATCTTCTGCTACACCTGCCATGATGTCTGTTTTATTTTGGCCTCTAACTTGCCAGCTCTTATTCTTCTTCAACTTGAGGATTGACACTCATGCAGTGGTTGTTGTCTCCCTCATGGTTTTCATTCCAGTTATGGTCATCTCCTCTCAAACCCTGATTATGAGGATTTGGTGCAATCTGCACCAGCGAGGAAAAATCTCTCTGGAAATTGTCCTGGGAATATTATTTTCTCTGGTCACTTGGGGACCCATATACTTATTTCTTAGTCCAAGTAACCGTTTTGCTCTCGTCTCAGTATTAGCATTTGTGCTCACATCTGTCAGCAGCACCATCAACCCTATATTTTATATTCTTATTGGTAAAGTACTTCTTCCTGAGGCCAGAAGCAAATGATTTCATTTCAGGAAGGACAAATCCGGTAAGCCACTGAGACTTTTATCATATTGGGCCACAAAAGAAGAAATGTAAGCAACAGAATCTGATACCTGAGGTGAGATTGCGTTTTGTTTGCTTGGTTTTCTTTTGTGAACAAACATAAGCAAGTCTATGCCATATAATAAAATCTTAAGTGTTGAATCAATGCCCAATTGAATAAAGCTTATGCCTTTAAACTGCTTCCTTTCATATCATCATCTCACTTATTTTAAAATGTTCCTGAAAGGTAAGAGGATTGGTTTTGTAAATGGGCAAGCTTCTAAAAATTGATCTCAGAGAGAGAGAGAGAGAGAGAGAGAGAGAGAGAGAGAGAGAGAGAGA